ACTGTATCTAGTGATTAACTCCCCTGATTTCCCAACTAACTCATCCTAAACTTCAGATTGGAATGTATCCCCCATCAGAAAGGCCTGTAATTTTTTTAAGCAATGTTTTAGCAGAACACAATTTTTTCTCTCTCTCTTTCTATCAGTGTTCCATCATGCATAGGCATTTGAATGACTCCACTATTTTCCAGGCCACCTTGACAAAGCTTTCTCTGAGTGCGTCGCGCTTAGTAAGACTCACAGGACAAGCCGGAAGGGACCACCACCTGAAGTGCCTCCAAGAGTGCCTGCGGGAGAAATGAACGGGATTGAACCTGTGGGGCAGAGAACTATTGAGTGTGCTCACTTGGTGGCTGAGTGGCATCTGCGTCGAGGCTCACCCATCATAGCTGCTTGTGCCTTACTTGCTGTGGATGATGTCAAGGTGAGGTCATTCTTTTTGGTGTGGAAGAGCAAAGAGTTTTTTTTGAAGGATTAATCTTGTTTCTTCCTGTAACTATTTATGAAGAGTAACTCTTTTGCTGTTTCTTACTGTATTTGCATGATTTTCCTTTTCATTTTAAGAATTTCAATTTGTCATTTATGTCATTATTCTTATATTTTGCAGGGTTCTCTGTCGATGCTCCTTCGAGGACATGAATTAGAACTAGTTGTCGCTGTGGGCAAACTCATATGCACAGACCCTTCAGCCAACAATGACTCCTGTGCATTTGATACTGACATCCCAGCAATTCAAGGACTAATAGCAACAGCCATGCGCTACCTTACTTACCGAGCTGTGAGGCTCCTGCTCTGGGATTTGGCTGTTGATTTGGCCAATACACTCCCACAGGTTTGATGGTTTTGGCGTTAATGATGTACAAACTCATTTTCATTATGAATCGTAAAAGACAGTTCTTTACAAATTCAGTTACACTGTGAACTAACTTTATATTATATTTGATTTGACATGATCTTGTACAGATTAGATATCACATAATAAGATTATAAGCCATACTTAAATCTTACATGGGGAATGAATAAGAGTTCATTTTTGATAAGTAATACTATTCATGTAAAACATAGGGAACCAACCGAACAATCCTGCTGGCGGAAGTACTAATTGCTTTCGTGGGAGGACATGAAGAACGAGAGAGCCTCTACACTCGAGCTGGCTTCCCATCACCTGTAGAGTGCCCGGAAAAAGCCATCGGATCAATACTAGACCAAGTCTTGTACTTACTCCTGTCGACCCAACCTTACAAAGGACTGAACAAAGCCTTGGAATTCTTGCAAGGTAGAAATTGGCTGGGACTTGTTTTGGGATTGAGTTGCATTTTCTTTTTAACCCATTCGCCACGGATTTATGTTCTGTCCCCTGTTGGTTTTGGTGAATTTTGCTACCTACAGATGGCTCCACATGTACTCAGCCGGCAAGGAGTCTAACAGTAGGCCCTAGTTACCGACCCTGATTTTCCCATTCATTGAATTGGCGGGAAAATTAATATCATTGCTTTCGATGCTGTTATTATTGTTACTGATGTTATGATGATTGAATTGTCATTAGAATATTTTTGACAATAAGATGATACAAAAAACCCTTTCCAAAAGTGAAGGAAAAGGCTAAACAGGTGAAATAGGTAGTTCTTGATAACTGGCTATTTGGTGATTAAGAACTTGTAGAGCCATCTAGGTGTAAATACAATAAATAAACGTGTATCAAAGTGGGTATGGCATCTATTCTTGCCAACCGTGGCGAATGGGTTAATGTTGGGAGGGATATTTCTTCCTCTCTTTACATACAGTTAATGGTATCAGGTGTATTGCTGGCCGATTTTATTTTGTATTTTTTAGACATTTTAGGACAGTTGTATATATATATGGCTCCTTCTCTCTCTTTGTATGTGTCAGTGATATGTTTCCATCTCGTGAAGATCAAATATTTTGAAATTGACTGCCATTTGATAATATAATAACATACTGAAGTAAAAATTGTTTTATTCCATTTTCTTATGGTTATTATCATGAGACTGTGTAAGGCATTCACTATGATTCAGGTATTTCCAAATCAGCAAAGATAAATATCAACTTTATAACTTCCAGACCAAATTGTGGGAGGAAACCTTGACAGAGAGAGCGTATGGTATGTCCTGCGTCTGGTCCAGGCCATCCCACTCACTCAGAATGCAGCTCAGTGGATGGTTCGGGCTGACCAGAAAGCAGGACTACTTGCAATATCAGCTTATCTGGGTGCAATTCGTGCAGCTGGATTGGAATATGGCTCAATTGTGTTATATCTCCTGAGCCATGCAAGGTAATACTTCATTGCCTAGACTGTATGCAGCTGTGGATCATAGACCTGATAATGTATATGTTGAAAGCTTTAATGTTATACTAGAAACTTGAATCTTTATTTTTTTCTCAAATCTTAACCCTTGGATCCGGATGCTTCACTGCCTGCACATGGCCCAGAACATGGGAGTTAGGCTTACTTTAGAGGCCACTCTGCTGGGTGTGCAGCTTGGAGGCCCGGTGCACATGAAAACTCCTGTATGGTGACAAGACTCCATGCCTCCTCCTATTTGCAATGTTATTTTCTCTTTTTCTGCGTAAGCAAATTTTGCTTTTATGCTATATTTATCATCTAAATTGCTCTATCCAGTTAGAGACAGACTGTTCTCTTTGCCTATTATCTCTCTGTGTAGTCCATAATAATAACATTTTTGTCATTTTCTTATTTTTTTACAATAGTCAATTTTCTGTAATACAACCTGGGTTGACAATTATGGTAGGTAGGAATAGGATCCTCCCTGGATGGTACATTCCACACTCATTTACTGATGGAAATAATGCAAAAGCCCCTACCCAAAATGCCACTGAGTCTATTCACTGTCCAAGAGCATTGTGCATTCGTGGTGAGTCATTCTCATCACCCAGGCCTTCAGCTGATATTCTCATGATGGCAAGTTTCTGTTACCCCAGCCCCCTCAACCAAATTTTGCCTTGATGGTACAGTCATGTCACCTGTCCCTCAAGCCAGATTTTTTCATGACACGATGGTCATGTCATCCGGATCGTAGGGGTTAAAATGGAAGCTGTCAGTGCTATATAATCTCTCATCAGAGACTGAACTGCTATTGCACAACATAATAGTACTATTTATATGCTTTCTTGTATGTTTAGTTATCTGTTGGAGAAACACAGGCCTTCAGGTTACGGATTCCTGGCAGAACATATAGAGTCGGCACGTATCAAGTAAGTATTTGCTTCTTCCTTGTGCTTGTTTAATGAATCACACAAAAAAGTTGAACTGATAAGGTTCACTGATCATTTATGTCTCTCTTTTTTTTCCCAAAGAATGGAGGAGGGAGATACTGACTGGGATTTGAATGTAGGAGAAAATTTAGAATTATGGAGCGATTTCAAAACCAGTCGGGTCAGCGGCTCACACCTCCCCAGGCATTCAGATGCCCAGACTTGTTGCATAACCAATACTATAATAAAGGTGCGTTTTTTTTACTTAACTTCATTTCATTTCTTTTGTCTTTTCTTCTGTAATTTTGAGGGTATTATTTATGGTCATCTGCCTCTTATGCTGTCTTCAGAAAGGCATAAATGAGGATGAATAAGTTCACAAAGCATGAGATATAATTGAGGCATTTTGATTAACTGTTCATCAGAATTACATGTAATTCTGAAAAAGCTTTAAGTGGAATATGCATATTTCGTGTGCGTTGTGATGTTATTCCTTCTCATTTATTGCTTTTCCACAATCATCATCACAGATTTCCTGCATTCATTGTATCACTCTGGAACACCTTTTTTTGATTTCATCTCTTTTCTTTCTTCCTCCCCTGTTCTATCTTTAAGAAGCATTTGCATGAAGATCTTGTCCACAGTGCTAATCCGACCCTTCTTCCCTCCTCTAGGGTCCGAGCTACTTCCTCGAGAATGGCGAATCTGTGATGGGTCTCAACGATGCTCTGATGTGGGCCAAGGTGCACCCTTTCTCCCCTCTGGGATCTGGCTGTCGTCTCAATCCATTCTGATCCTCAGGAGGAATGTAGTTCTTATCATGCTTTCTCATGGTAGAGGGGGTGTGCGATGAAATGAGATTGACGCAAAGGAAAGATTCCGTCTGGGATTAACTTTGAAGTGCCATGCCTATGTGTTGTTTGGATATTCATTATTGTTACAGTTTTTAGAATTATTATTACTATTATTATTATTGTTATTTTTATCATGAGATTTCTTTTTACATACTTGTTATTCTTACTGCTACTGTTATCGTCAGTAAGAATGTTATTTTCTAGGAATATTTTAGGAAAGATAATGTTGAAAAATTACTCTAGTGTTGCCCTGATGAATATTTTTCCGCATCTTATTATCATCGAATTATATTTTTCGTTATATACCTGGGATTAGCTTTATGTATCATGAATTAGGTATTTTGAGAGTGATTAAGGTAAGTCTTAGTCTACAGTAGATGGAAAGTCTACAGAAAATTTAGGATACTGATCCCTGTGGATACTAAGGGTTGTTTGCCATAAGGTTTAACAAACAATATCTTTTACAGAGATATAAAATTATGAGGGTATATTTGCATAGCAAACAAACAATAGCAGAGCAAGAAAGATTTGTTAAAGAATAAAACTAATCTACTCTATTTATAAAAAAGAAAAATAACTGTACAAAAGATAAGAATTTTAAGCTGTCTCTTAAAAAGGACTCTAGAAATCATGGTACTGATAAAAATTCATAAATATATATATATATATATATATATATATATATATATATATATATATATATATATATATATATATATATATAATATACATATATAAATGTGTATATACATATGTGTATATATAAATAAATATATATATATATATATATATATATATATATATATATATATATATATATATATATATATATAATATAATATAATATACATATATAAATGTGTATATACATATGTGTATATATAATATATATATATATATATATATATATAT